TAATTGAACATCCGCGCTATCAGCTGATTGTCCACTGCCGCCCCTATCCCCACCCAAGGCCAACTGACGCTGCCTAGAAGGTCATAGGGCTACGAAAGGAAGCGCAAGGAACGCAAATGTTGGGTTCCACATTTGTCATTTCGCATGCAATATTAAAAGTGACCTTATGTCTGATTTTCTACTTGGCCGCAATCGAATTAGGCTTTGTTTTTGGGCAGTCGTTGTGAGGCTGTTGTCGTTGTTGTTGTCGCTGCTGTCCGCAGCCACTTTATCTTTCAGATATTTACAGACGCCCAATTAGTTTCGATTCGTTTCGATTCATTTCGGTTCGCTTCGATTTGTGTACGACAAGAATTTCTGCTTGATTTCACATCCTTGTTCTCCATGTTGCTGCGCCTTTTGTCTTCCCAGCCACTGTCCTGCTTTGTGTGGGAATTTGTGGCAGTCAATTAAGTCGCTTTTGGGGCCACGAACGAGGCAATATTTATGAAGTTGGCCCTTGTTGGCATTATTAATATTTCTGCTGCCGCGCCCAGGACCGATGATAAATGGATTCCAGCGCCTACATTTTGGTGGAGCCTCACAAGCTACCGACCACTCAATCAAAACGCAATGCGTGCGCTTAAGTGGCATTTAAATGTAAAGCAAATGACCCATACCCCAACCCCAACTCCAACTCCAACCCCAATCCAAACTGCAACCCTTAAGCCATAACCCAACTGGCGGAGTATACAAACAAAAATCGATTAGTGTGGGCAGAAAGCGTTAAAAAATAAAGAAAGCAACTGCGCGCACACACACACACAAAATCTTTGTTTCTGCATACATTAAAAATTAATTAAAAGCAGTAGAGTGCTTCGACCCAGAAACAACAACACAACTTAGTAATTAAAGTTGACCATCAATCCGTAGAAGAACCGCAGGCAGACCAGTCGACTGACCTCCTCAGTCAAAGCCAAAGCCAAAGCCAATGCCAGCCACAAGCCGCAAGTTTCGGCCACATCCCAAGCAACAGCCCATAACCAAAATTTGTTGCTTTTATGCTCAGAAAAATGGCGACGTTGTGTGTGTGTGTAAGTGGGTGGTTTCCCAAGTAAACAGAAGCGTGGGTGGCGTCGACGTTTGGTTCGACATTTGTATTCCCATCTGTCGACAAAGGCGTTTGCGCTGGCACAATGCTCAGCTGTAAATAAACAGAGGAAAATTCAAATAAGTATAATAAGTAAGAATAAATAACTACCAGAAGCAGACACAAACACATGCACAGAACGCTGAACCGTATTCTAAGGACGCAGCCACCCAACCAACCAATCGACCAATCGACCATCCAACCAGCCACGCGCAAATATTTCGTTGCACCTCAACAATGGCACGACCCCAAGAAATGAATCACACAAATGAATCACCGGCAGCGTCACTGTCGAGGCGCGAATGAGACGTGGCAGGTGAAACCAGTCCTCGACTGACCCATCGACCTCTCTCCCGAACAATGGGGCAAAATCCGGATCTATCATTAGAAGAGAGAAGGCTTTCAGGTGGCATATGTGGACAAAATTCAATCTGATAATATTTGAAAAAACCACTCAAGGATTTTGTGAAAAAGTGTTTGCGGAATAACTATGTATTCCACTGATTTCAGGGTGAACAAAACTGCAGATACTGAAATTAAATTAAGTCGAACAAACTGATATTTCTCTCTGTGCAGACACCATAACAAGTTCCTTTCTATTTGCTTGGTTTCAAAAGCATCTCCAATTGGAGAGCACGTGTGCAAAAAAATTGTTGTTACTTCACAGAATTAAATTTAATGCTTCAGCAAAAGTAGTATAGTTTATTACACCTACAATTCAAATACAAACTCCTTATCTACATTATAGTTCTTTAGATTTAAGAAAACAAAAAGTTCATTAAGCAAAAAGTTGAACAATTTTCAAATACTACAATACTGCCATAGACTTGAAGCTCTGTTTTTTTATGATTCAAATAACGTTTCTCGAATTGGGAAGTCGCCAAGCTATTAATATTTTAACCAATCGACTGAAACTTTGTAGAAGCATTTCTCGAGTTAAGCTGGCATTGAAAGTGTCTGCTGTTTAAATTTCCAGCTTAAAATCATTTCTTTTGGTAAAAGAGACTGATGCTGCTGGATGCTTTCTTGAAAACTAAGTTCTATTCCATCGTGCAAGGACCATCACTGAATGAATAAATCCCAAAAGCAAATATGCAAGACAAAATCCCAGATTCTTTAACAACAAATAAAGGACGAAAAAGAAATAAGCATACAGAGCGCAAGCTCGCGGCATTGTGGTGGTCGGTCAGGTGGGCTGGGCAGGGACCCTACCGTCAAGGTTTGCGTTTCATCTTGAAAAAGTTTATATCGACAGTCGTTCAGTCGGAGTTGTGTGTGTGGGTGTGGATGGGAGCGTAGGGCGTGGAAAGGAGAGTCATTCATGGAAGAGATGTTGATGTATTGTGTGCGTGTAGAGGACGTGCTCGACTCCCTCTCGCCTCCCGCCATCTTCAATTGGGCACTTGCGTCGCAGCTGCAGTTGATTGTGCGGCATCGCTTTGTTGCCATTGTTAGTGTTGTTGTTGTTTTTATAAAGCATTGACAATGCGGTTGACAAAAGCAGCAATACCAATACCAACAGCAAAGACCAGTCAGTCAGTGCGGGCAGGCAGGCGGAGCATTCTAACGTATTTTTCCAGTTTTTATCGATTTAAGTTCACTTCAGTTGTGAAAAGTGTGCGCGACAAACGTTGATGTTGAAGCTACTGGTTGAGGGAAGGCCTGGGGATGGGAACGGGCGCCGTGCTTTATGAATGTATGCGTCTCTGTTGAACAAAACCACACGAAACTCATTTCCCTAAAGGTGCATGGCGCACACACACACACCCATTCCCATCCACATCCACATCCCTACAATGCCTCGACTCTTAAGTTTCTGTTTGGCTGCTGCACATACGAGTACGAGCATGTGGAATGGTGTGCGTATTTGTGTTTCGGAAATTCCTCAGTTCTGTCACCCAAAGCTCTCATATGTTTGTTATTTATTTTTGGTGAAATGTGTGTTTGTCTAGGCCAGAGTCGAGAGCAAATCAAAGCCAGCTGGCAAATAAACTTGTGCGCGTCTTAAAGTAATGGGAAACCGTAGCTGGAAGGGAGACGACAACGATGTTCTCATCGCCTCATTTGCATATATCACGAGAGATAATACCTACACAGACAGTGGATGTTGTTTTATCACAATTAATTATACAAGTATACTAGTACCTTTAGCGAAAAGGTGTGTGATTTCATTTTAATTGCGAGTATGTTATTAAAAAGCGATAAATAGATAGATCAATAGATAGATATGTAGATGGATGGATAAATAGATAAGTGGATAGATGGAATGGAAGTGGAAATGTTCTCTGTTTCCATTTGAATTTCAATACATGATTCACTATTCTTGGAAGCTACTAAGGTCGTCAATACACAATGCTTTGATTTGTGACTGATCCATCCATTCTGGAATCCATTATGATTTATTTTACTAATCAATATATCTAAGTGTTTCTTCTAACGATATTTGGGCAACTTGTGCAACTGCACATATAAATGATTATTATTATTTATTTCTTCTGTGCTTCAATATGGAATTACAAAAAAGAGTAAATGAACAAAGTTTAAAGTTTGTCGGAATTCTAACTTTACAAAACGTCAATTTTTTTAAAAACACTGGTTTTTTAAACGAAGTTTGAAGCCCCTTTCCTCCCTTTGGTGCTCAAATTGTAACGAATCCAAATTTCAGCTTCCTAGCCATGCTGTGTGGGCTGTGCATTGACACCAAGGAGTCAGCCAGTCAGTCAGGATACACTGTTTTATAAATGTGTGTGTATGCCTAAGCCGCTCGTGTCTACTGTTTGACAGCTGCCGTCTGTTTTTGCACCTCTGAAAATTACCAAATAAATATTATGGATTTGCAAATTGATGTTGCTAATGATAGGGCCCTCCTCTGTTCCCCCCGTCCTGCTGGCTGGCCTCGCTTTATGATGAAATATGGTGGAGTATAGCGATTTGTCGTGCCCATCGTCAGAGGCTGCTGCTGCTGCTGCTGCTGCCTTCCTCAACCAATTCCGTGGCAGCTGCTGCCTGGGTCTGGAATGAAGCAGAATTTTGGCGCAACGGAAATTTCCTTCCAGGCAGACACATTCACGCTGTTTATGGTAAATTAAACCAATTGAGTGGGATTACGTTAAGCGCTCGCATTTGGCTCGGCCGGCCGGCTCGGCAATCCTGGCCATAGCTGTATTGGCAGGCACTTGCTTGACGTCGCTTTTTGTTGCTAAGCATTGTTCAGCGTTAAGCACTTGGCAATTTAAGTGTTTTCTGTGGGTTTCAATTTCATTGTAATTCCCCGTCAGGCAGTCATGCAGTCAGGCAGTCAGTCATTGTGTGGGAGAGTCAGGCAGCAGGGCTTTGTAGCCGTAGCTAAGCGCCTTGCGGCTATATTGCGGATATCAAAGCGAAAGGTGGCCTTAGCGCTAGAATGGGCGTAGGTGTTTGTACCTTCGGTGGCTTTGCGGGCTTAGGGCCTGGATGAATGGGGATATGTTTGGGGCGCTTAAATTTGCATGTTTTACAAATTGTGTTCGAAATACGAGACAAATCACTGGCATGGTCGTTGCGGTTCATTAAACTCGCACAAAATGTACAAATTATACAAATACTACAGATTTCTATGCACATGACCGCATGTTTGTGGCTCAGCTATAAATTTTAGATGCTTGAACTATAGAAAACAGGCAGCCGAACTAATTCATGTGCATTTTGCCATTTGCAGAGATGAAAGCGTTTCTGCCAAGGACACAGGACCATCGACAACATCGACAACATCAGCAGCAGCAGCAGCAGTAACAGCAGCAGTAACAGCAACAGCAACTGCAACAGCAGTAATAAAAACAATCAGGAGCTCAATAAAAACAATCAAGTCAACAGACAGACATGCCAAGGACGAAAGCAACGAAATCGGTTTTGGAAAACAAGCGACATCCGCAGAGACTTGCAGAGACTCCTGCTTCATGCGATATTCGCCTGTAAATATGCAATAGTGTGTATTAGTTCGGCACAACTACGCTTCAGAGCAACGGGAAAAGGGCAGAGGCCAGAGAATAGAGTACAGAGGACAGAAGATAGAAGATAAAGGACAAAGGCAAATTAGTGACCAGTTGTGGAGTTGAACACAGCCTTTTCAGGCAAGCAATATTATGACGCGCTTGCAGCACGAACTGACAACAGCAACAACAACAGCAGCAACTATTGTGGCAACAACAACACCCACAGCAACAGCAGAAGAAGCAGCCAGAGAAGCAACAGCAACAGTAACGACAACAGTAGTCGGCCATCCCTTCCATATGCCGCTGCTGGAGGCAACGCACGCCAGATATTTGAATTTCGTTGCCGATGGACTCATCGATGATGGCAGCGGCGGTGGAGTGGGTGGCGTTGGCAGCAGTTCAGTTCCTATTGAAGACACGCTGGCTAGTGCCGGCGCCGTCGGCATCAACGAGAGCGCCGCGGTCGGCAGCGACGACATCAACGGCAGCGCACATCTGACATTTGTCATCGTCAAGTGTTTCATTATTGGTTTCATCATTCTTGCCGCCATTCTGGGCAACATGCTGGTGATTGTGTCCGTTATGCGGCACCGAAAATTGCGGTGAGTTTAACTTCGTTTTTGTCCTACCCTGTCACATTTGCCTTCACCTCCCTAGGTTTCTTTGTTTGCCACACACTTTGTATACACTTCAGAAAATAGGCTCATGCTCATGATTGATCTAGAATGTGAGACACACTGAGAGGATATTCTTAAGTTAGATAATAATAATCTTCGATGCGTAACTCAGACAAATGTTCCCGTTATAAAACTCCTCGACGTTCTTAAGATTTTCATTTTTCTTAAATTTTTAAGTTTTCCAACATCTCAGCTTAGGTTTGTTGATTTGATAATAAATTGTGCTTTTTCAGAACTGATTTATTTTAAATATATTGGCTACTTCTTTGATCGAGCTCGTCAGAAGTGTAGCTTGGCAAAATGTTTCCTCACCAAGGAAGTAACTTTTCAGGGCATACAATATTTGGCACATCTGTGGCAATGTTTTTCATTTCACTTTTTCGTTCATTATTTCCTTTCAGGTTTTCCACACTTTTTGCCTCCTGTTTTGCGTGCTCTTGTATCTTGTATCTTGTCAGTTTTCCGTTTTTGTGTTGTTTTTGGCTTTCCTGTCATTGAATTGTTGCCATTGCCATTGCCATTGTCATTGTCACTGTCACTGTTACTGACAATGAGTTTCAAGGACGTACCCATGCCGCCAGCGCCTCTAGCTGCCTGTCTTTCAACTGCCAGCTGGTCGCCAGCCGCAGGCATCAGACAGAAGACGGGAGGAAGGGCACACTTGTTATTGAGGCGCTAATCTGGCGCGTTTTTGCGCCCATTAATTTGTCATAATTTATCATATTTCTTCTTCCTTCGTTCTGTCGAGCACTGGGCGAGTGGTGCGAGTCAAAGGGATTTGCGCGAACGCCAACTGGCCACTGAGTGTGGCCACACACTTCATAAATAACGCAGCTGTCTAATTTCTTGACCTGTCCAAGTGCCATTTATCAGCGAACGAGAACTTGCGATAAACAAAAACAAAAACAACACCAAAAAGAAAAGATGAAGGAGAGAAAATACTGAGCTCGGCATATATTTTTATGCGACACTGTTAAATGCGAGCCGAATGGCAAGAACGTGCGTAATTACGGTAAAGAGTGTTAATAACAAGCGCACATAAAAATATCGTAGCCTACTTAAAAGGGCACAAAGAGAGCCTCCCGGCTGCTTGACTTGAATTTGCTGTTGTTGTTGCTCTTACTGGCATTTACTTTATGTGCGCCCATATAATTTGTCAAAATTATGAATTGAGCGGCACAGCGGTGAGCTCCTACTACGTGTTTTTATTTTTGTACTTTGTTTTCAGGCAAAGGAAAGTGTAAACTCATACGAGTACGCCTGACATTTGCAGCATTTAAATAACATAAAATACGCCCCAGTACTTGGGCGCTGCCACCACACCTACCAACGCACACACACCCACACCCACACACACTCATACACATACACATAAGTACATATGCTCGACTCAATGTCAGGGCAAGTACAAGAATATGTTGTGTTGCCTTCGTGTCACGCACGCATGGCGCCGCAGGGACAAAGGCAGTACGCCAGACTTGGCAAGAGCAAGAGGGCGGCGGGACGGGTGGACAGACAGAAACACAGAAAGACATACAACACCTGACATTTGCGGGGCTCATTTAATTTTGGGGGACGGCGCAATTTAGACTCTGACCCTGACTACTTAATGTTGCCATTTTGTCTCTTGTCTGCCCAACTGACTGGCTGGCTGACTGCCTGACTGTCTGACTGACTGACTGCCTGTCTGTCTGCCTTCCGGTCTATGCCTGAGTGTGTGTGCGTGCCCAACGATGTGTGTCTTTGTCTATCTAGCTCTCTTTCCCTCTGTCCCCACTTCCGTGCCATTTTGCCTTTTATGTCGCTTCCCGCTTCTTTTGCTCCGCTACGCAGCTTAAATCATCATGGCAAATTAAACTTAATTACGTCCAACATGCATTCGTACTCAAACCATTATGCGTGTGTGTAGTGTGTATGTGTGCGTGTATAGGCTATATGCGAGTATGTTTGTGGGCTGGGAGCGCCCAGGTGTGTTCCTCGTTTTACAGCTCCACTCAAATAGCCGCGCTATAATTTAAGCCTAATTTAACCGCAAACTTTATTAGCGGGAATTGGAACTCTTTGCCATCCGAAAGAGAGCGACTCTCGACTGCAGAAGATGGGCCAGAAGAATGGGGCACATTAAAATGTCGCTAAAAGACCAGGTGGTTTCTGAATATGCGCCCACTAAGTAACTACCAAATGGCCAATAGCTTTTTATGGCTTAGTATGCGAACAACTAATTTTCACTGTGTAGCAAAAAGAGGGATTTCTTCTACGAGTCGATTATTGAGTGAATTTTGCTTTTGCCTGAAAGCTCTTTTGCTGACCAATAGGCAAAAACTGGATTATTACTTAATTATTCAGTTCGTATCATTTGTTAATTTATACTTAGGTTGTCTAGCGGTGGATACTTACTTTTTATATCCAGTCCGGCAAGAGATTAGTTCATTTGATTAATCAATAATGAATCGTAATTTGTGAAAATAAGAAATTGTTTAGGTGTTTATACAAATTTATGGCTACATAGAATATTGCCGTTAGTTGTTCGGGGTAAGTTAGCATACATTTTATTTTTAAAGTCATTGCAAAAGTAAAAGTAAGTCGCCTACAAGGTTCACTTTTCCATTGACCTTTGGCTGCATTTTATGCTCGCCAGCATCGAGCATAAAAGGTCACATTTATTGGAATATAAATGTTAGCTTGACTTTGCAGCTGCGGAAGTATACAATTTTGTAGAGCGTGAGAATGAAGTGCCAACCTGCACATTATAAATCAGAATAGAGGCCTTTAAATATGAAGTGCTTGCAGATCGCCGAATAATTGGCTTACATTCTTAAAAAGTGGGTGCTGTTTCAAAAAGAACAAAGCTTTATCAAAAATTGAGCATCAAACGTGCACATTTATTCATACATCTCCTTTGCCTACTTTGTGTGTAAGATATTAAGTAAAGGAAAGGTCAACGGGTCGGCAAAATGTAGTGACGCAGATGCTGCCTGGCAACAAGGCTTTATTTGCCCAACAATTTTTCAATATAGGCTTATAGTTCATTTGTTCCTCGGAAACTGGACATTAAGTTAAATAACGTCTAAAACCTACATATACGAGAGCTGCATAAAGAACCCAATAGCAGGCTTGCAGTCGAGCAAGCCCGACAGTGAAATACCCTGTACCCAGCCAAACTTCCTTCACTGAGTCAAATGCGCCCATAGCAGAAGCAAATAGAGGAGGAACAAGAGCGAACTTAATGCTGCAGCTTGTGGGCGTAGTACCTGAGTGAAATTGGTTTTCTTAGAATTGACCGAATTGGATAAAATTTAAAACAAGTAGATAGCTGTATATAGAATGCGCGTTAAAGTTTGGAAATTCTTTAATGGGAGAAGGGGGGGAAAATTCCAAAAAATAAAATAAACTCTTCCTTTCTCGGACCTAGGCGAATCTGGATACCAACTTTAATTTGCGTTCATCCAGACAGACAGACAGACGGACAAGCGGACGGACAGGCGGTCGGACATGTCTTGAGCGATTTCTCTCGTAATCAAGAATATATATACTTTATGGGGTCGGAGATGCATTCTTCTGCATGTCACATACTGTGCACAATCCTAATATACCATTTTTACCCTACGATTACAGGGTATAGAAATTAGATTATACTCTTTTATTTTGATGAAATCTCTCTTCAGCATTAGGCAGTTTTGTTCTCGATATTGTGAACATCATATGCACATCTCGAATACACATGTGTCTCAAATCTACATATGTGAAATCAAAAAATAACAAATAATGACCTTCAAAGGCCATTTTTTTCTATTTCTATAAGCTTCCGAATGGACAACTAAAAATAAATCAGGGTCATTTGAAAAGGTTTTGCAAGCATGTACTTACGTCATAAAACTGCCAAACTTTAATACTGTTGATAATTTCGCAAAGGATTTTTATTTCAATCTTAAAGGACTAGAAGACATTCAGAGATTTTTTCGATGCATCGCTCTTTTTAAACCACAACATGGTGTGTATTCTTACATTCAGCTTTTGTTAGGGGCACACACACACATACACACATAATCGATGTTGTTATTTCTTTAAAGTGGAAACGTGCCTTTCCCCTCTGGCGTAGCACGTTTCGCCACATTCCAGTATTATATCTTAATCGGCTTCTTGCGATGTCTTTGCCTTAATTACTTTTCGATGTTGGCTTTGATGTAGGTACATTGTACATCTTATTCCGCTTTAAGTGCCCTTCAGCCAGCTGTCCGTTGCTGCCATCAACACTTCGCAGTGCAGTCGACGCCGCTGTAATTAGATTTGTAGTCGGTCCGGTTTAATGGCCTTGTCGAAGCCCAGTCACAAAAATGTAATGGACGCGTCAGCTGCCCGGCTTAAAATTAGAAGCGAAACCACACTTTTCAGCTAGATAATACGATGTGGAGCAAAATCTCTTTTCTCATATTGCGTATACGCCGCGTGCGGGTAATTGACTTAATTTTTGTCTGCGGCAAGCGCAAAAGCTTTCGCTGGGTTTTGTAGTGCCATCGCATTTATTAATTAACGCATTAAACAATGAAACGCACTTATGGTATCACGCAGTCGGTGAACCGCACAGCGCCACATGCGGCGTATGCGTAATGTGTAAAGTTTTGAGCAACAAGCCAGACAAGCGTTAAACACTGACAATCTCCGTGAGTAAGACAGCAAGTGTGAATGATTGAGTTTAAATGCTTTAGTGCTCTAAATTAATTTACAAACTTAATGCGCACTCCCAGTAATGGGGTGCTTAAGGGGCACCTACTTGTAATATTGCGCTCTTGTCCTAGCACTTGGCATTTAAAGATGTTCTCTCAATCCTTTGATTCATTTAAAGAAACTTGATTATAAAAGCTTTCAGCAAATACCTCTTGAAGGCAATATTCATGCACAATAAGAACCACTACGAATATTTATGAATCATTATTGTATTTACCGGAAGTGATATCGATTTGTATTAGATTTTATCGAAAAATGTATTTTTTAAATGTAAAAATTTTAAGCAAGGAATGTTTTACATATGCATTAAACAATACTTTCACAAGAGCCGTATTTATTTGAATTTCTTTGTTGCAGCATCATAACCAATTACTTTGTGGTTTCTCTGGCCGTCGCCGATATGCTCGTCGCACTCTGTGCCATGACCTTCAATGCTTCCGTCGAGATCTCAGGAAAGTGGATGTTTGGCTCGGTCATGTGTGACATGTGGAACAGCTTCGATGTCTACTTCTCCACGGCGAGCATTATGCATTTGTGCTGCATCTCAGTGGATAGGTAAGATGGCTGAGCTCAGTTCAGGAGCCATTCAAGAGCTTTCTCTTTCAGATACTTTGCCATTGTACAGCCATTGGATTATCCACTTATTATGACGCAGCGACGTGTGTTCTTCATGCTGCTATTGGTCTGGTTGTCTCCGGCATTGCTTTCGTTTTTGCCCATCTGTTCGGGCTGGTATACGACTAGTGAAAACTACAAATATCTCAAGTCAAATCCACACGTAAGTAACTATTTATGTAAGATTGAATGGAAGATGGAATGGACTTCAAATCAGCAACCAAAGAGTGGAGGAAAAGCTTAACGGTGTTAAAAGGCAGAAGAAAAGTTACTTTATCCCACATCTTTGCGATAGTACGTAACAAAAGTAACAAATTGATTAACTTTATAGCATACTCAAAAGTTCACTTGCGTTAAGGATTCCTTACATTGATGTCATCCACAGAAAAAGCTGATAAATTTCAAAGGCACACACTATTCAATGAAATTAAGTTGCAGAATGCTAAAAATGTACTGTTCTTTTTTTTTAAAACATTTCTTACGATTTTCCTTTGCGCTGGCATATAAATACTATACATACCTACATATGTATATATTTACAAATGCAGAGTTGGTTGTTGTTATACACGTGCATAAGAAAATGTTTGGTAGCATTTTCTAGCGCATAAAACTAATAGAAAATTCTAATTTGGTTGAGGCTTGTAGTTGTGTGTGTGGGTGTGTGTGGGTGTGTGTCTGTACTAAATCTACTTTGCATGCATTTTACATGCCATTTGCCTTTCCTCCCTCTTTCTCTGCTCTGGCAGCTCTGGCAGCTGCCATGTGTGGGGCAAAAGGTATACCATAAATTCTGCCAACACTTGCACCTGGCAACATCTTCCCTACTGCTCTTGACTATCCGTCCACTCGTCCACTGTTCCCCTTCTCTGGCACTTATCTGTCTGCTGTCCACTAGAGATGTGCATCGACTCAACACTATGTTCATTTGGCTGAACTTTTTTTGTTGTTATTTTATTAACTAATTATCGATTAGAACTGCAATTTGGTGATAAATGTGTGAAGAGAATGTTCCAATCGAATTAGTACGATATTTCCACATTTTAATTTTGTTTCTTAGTGATAATTCGTGCTTCTTCGTGCCCTTCTGAATAAACATCATCATGCACGATTAAGGAATAGGAAACACGACCCATGTCCATCTCTGCTGTTTGTCGATTTCTTTCTGCTACCTGCTCCTTAACTTCGACTCACGCTCGACTCGAAGGAAATTGATTTATGTGTGTACTGTATTGTTGTTTTATTTGTTGTTGTCATTGCTGTCAGTGACTCGATTGGCCGGTCGATTGGTCGCCCGTTCGTGCGGCTCTTACGTTTTTACGCCTTTCAGGCAGACAGACGGAGAGACGTGGATAGGTGTGGGAGAGCCGGGAGAGCTGGGCCCGCAAATGGCATATTTATTAGTCTGTTTTATTGCCTTTGCATTTGACGTAAAAACATGCTGCGAACATATTTTCTTAGTCGTTGAGCGCATTAAGCATCCTTCGGTCGCTGCTGCTGCCCGCCTAACGCCCAACAAGTGTTGGTTGGTTTCATTTTAATTGTTGTTGTTGTTTTTCCCGTTGTTGTGGTTATTATTGCGTAATATAAATGTTGATGTATAAATAAATGTAATTATATGTGCGTTTGTGCGTCGCAGGCGGCGCATAATTTTCACGCGCGTCCTGATTGCCAATGCTGGCCGAGCCGCTACTTGAGTATAGCCCAACAAGGAGCTGGCTGCTGCCCTGGTATCCTTGCTGGCTGGCTGGAAGCTTGAGTGCCTGCAATGCCAGCGTAAACTCATTGAAAGCCTTTTGCATACATTAGCATAAAAGTTGGGCTTTAATTAGTTTTTCTTGTTTATGTTAATAACAGGCGCAGTGCCAGTGCCATTGCCAGTCCCGCTATTTCGTCCTTGTACTTATCAGGATGCTCGACTGTCTTTGGGTGCGTCGGCAAGGGTGGAGGAGGTTGTCAGCAATCTGATTATGTGCCCATGTATGTGGCAAATTGACTTTGGCTGTCGTTGCGGCAACCGACAGCGAAAAGCGCTTGCACTTCGCTCCCTCCACCACCACCGCCACCTCCACCACTACTTTCCGCTCAAGCTGTGTAGACTGGGAGAGCGTGGGACTGGCCTTTGTTATGCATACATTTAATATATGCCATAATTGACTGTTTATTGCTGCAATGTCAGCACAAACGAAGGCCAATAAACATATTAACGCTCGAGTGTTATGGGCATTGCGCATACGCACCATTGTGCACACACAAAACATACACATCCAGATCGGGGAAAATGCAGTGGCATTTCAAAGCGCCATTCAAATCAAATTTGCAGCATTCTGCATATCAGCACGAGGCTCTACTCCGTGACCATTGTCTGTGAGCGAGAAATGGCAATAAAAAGCGCAGCAGGCCACGTAATTGCACAGTATTATTTGATTATCATATTAGGTTTGATTTATTTGCTCGGGCACGTGCACTGCCTGCTAATGGAGGCATTCAAATAACGCCCTTGAAAATTTGTTGTAAGAATTGTGGAAAGTAAGAAGATATCTTGTGGAAAATAAACTTCATCTTGCAATGTCATTTCTATTGTGTTATCTACACAAACTCAATTAGAACTTCGACTTATTACCGCACAACAAGTTTTAGTTTAGTCCATCAACCAATTTAAGAACATGATGATGATTCTTTTTAATTGCGGAAATTTCTTCACTAAAGCCATAATATTGATTGCCATTCTGAACTCATAAATCAATCATAAGCTGCAAATCAACCTGCAATCTGTAATGAGAGCTGGTCTATCTATTTATTTTATATTTCAATGTAAAATGTTTTCATGATTAGTATTTGCAAATTGCTATTAAGTAATCAGTCAGCCATACAGGATTGATTAAGGCAAATTTCTGCTTTGCTTAGTCATCCAATCGAATCATCGATGCGTTGCTAACAATTTCTACCCGCGGATGGAATGTGAAGTTATATACGCAGTCATCTCGTTCGTGGCTCGGGCTAATTAAAATCGGAGGTCAAATGCCACTTTGTGCGCCATGTAAACATATTCCCACTTGTCTCGTTACAGATTTGCGAATTCAAAGTCAACAAGGCGTACGCAATCGTCAGTTCGTCGATGAGCTTTTGGATTCCGGGCATCGTCATGCTTTCCATGTACTATCGCATATACCAGGAGGCTGACCGTCAGGAGCGTTTAGTCTACAGGTAAGCGAACACACGCAATTAATTTGCGCTCAGCAATTAACGCTAATTACCGACTACCGCCTGCCGCCTGCCGTTGACCACAGATCCAAAGTAGCGGCGCTCCTCCTCGAGAAGCATCTGCAGATTAGCCAAATTCCCAAGCCGCGGCCAAGCATACAAGTGGAACAGGCAACCATTACGACAATGAGGCGGGAGCGCAAGGCGGCTCGCACGCTGGGAATCATTATGAGCGCCTTCCTACTCTGCTGGCTTCCCTTCTTCCTATGGTGAGTGTCCAATTTGGGGTTCTGGCTCGACCCTCTGTCTCGCCCCATTTGCACGTATAAATTGTAAAGGACGCTGACAAATTGCAAGGGCTCCGAGCATTCGCTTCTCTGCCCAGCAGTTTGTTGCACAGTGTGATGTTTTGACAAACTGTGGGAGTAAATTACAATTTGAGTTCCAAGTTGTTTTTTAAAAACTGATTGTTTGCATGAATTTTCATTTTCAATACTTTCATTCTTTTTACTGCTCATGTTTTATTTCACAAAACAATACTTTAATATTGCTAATCGATAACTACTAATCTGTTTGCACTTAATGCGATTTATCTCTTTTCTCTGCCACGACAGGTATATTACTTCCTCGCTGTGCGACAGCTGCATAACGCCACGGATTGTTGTGGGTATCCTGTTCTGGATCGGTTATTTTAACTCTGCGCTGAATCCCATCATTTACGCCTATTTCAATCGCGATTTCAGGGCCGCCTTCAAGAAGACTCTAAAGGTGAGTTTTGAGAATCTTTTGGCTTCGACAGTTCGTCCCTCCCGACCCAGCTGCTGTCAGCTGGCTGGACAAAACGGCCAATTACTTGCAGGGAAAAGGGAGAAGAAGAAAACAACTAAACCAAACCATTTCTATGACTTTTGTTCCCACCGTTTCGCACCCGCTTAGTCCTAGTAATGAGCTCGCGTTTGGCAGCAAGATGTGTCCGAAGCCCAACAACAACAATTTCAATTACAATAACAGCAGCGATAGCTACGAAATGCGACACCAGCGTCAGGTTGGGTAGCTATACGAATGCGCTGCAACCCTGGCAATTAGTGCCATTGTCGTAGTCTACTTATTATATGTAGATGACTGTGCCGCTGCTCGCCAATGCCTGTCAATGAGTAGAAGGATGCTGCATCCTTCAATTAGATAGTTTAGTTAGTGAAACGCATTGGCTGTCGCAATTGCCTCAAACTGTAATTGCCACTTGCATTAAGAACTCTTTTGCACGCTCTTCTTGCCTGTGTCTCGCTCGTGCTCTCTCGTTCATTCACTCTGGTCAGCCAAGTAGATATTTTGGTCACATAACGTTTTACAAGTAGGTAAACAGTAAAGGCATACATGTGTGCAAAATATTTGCTTGAGTGGCCATTTCTTTCTCTATCTATTTCTCTCGCTCGCACATTTTTCGCTGTCATTATCGCTCACTCGTTTTCTCTCTCACCCGCATTTAAACAAACAAAAGTATGGAACGCGCCACGTATGCTGCATTTTGCGATCGTCAATTGGCTTCTTTACATACCGGCGTTGCCAACATCTAATCTCATTTAACATTCCTCTCTTCCATGCATTCGCATCACAGCTGGCGTTTGCCCTTCTGATACGTTGCCTCACGCCCGCCAAAAGCTAAGCCCAAAAAATATGCAAAAAAAAATGTGCAAAAAATAAAACTCGAGACGAACACAAAAAGTTATATTGAAATTAAAAATGCGCGTATGTATGAGCATGCAAACTATTGGGCCTGCTGCACACACACACACACACACATCATCCCATACAAAAGCAGTATTTGTGTACAGACAGACACAAAATGTACAAAATTCGCTTGCCCGGAGCTCGGGCTACTTGCTTAGTCTGCGCCACAGCCGTCACCAACAACATCATAAAAAATAATAATAATAACAACAAATTCAACAAGAACAGCACCTGCTACATAGAGGATGTCGGGACAAACACATACCCTGCAACTCGTTTCTGTAGACGGTCGACAGAGGAGTTGGGAGAAGTGCGTGTGAAGATGTTTTGAAGCAGCGCAGTGGTCTGCGGTACAAATAAAAAATATTATTTTGGAATCTGATAACTACATACATATATCCAATCTCTTGGAATAACAAAAAATCGATCTTCAAGCGGACTAGAAAAAGTAGTTCCATTTGTGTCATATCTTCAAATGTTTCGTAAATGTATAGTATGTAGGTGGGTTCCCCTATGCTGGCAGGGTAACGTTAAACACTCACACACATGCTTGTGCAGAATGTTTTTGTATAATGAAATGTTATTTTTCCCCACATTTTTCCCTTTTCGAAACACACAAATAGACCTTTTACACTCTTTGTTGTGTGCATGTTGCCTTTTATTTTGTTTAGCATTTTTCTGCCACGTTCATTTTTCTTTCACAACAAAATTATCGCAGAAATAATAAACCCGCACAACACAACACACACACACACACACTACTCTATGCTTTGACTTCGCCTTCGCCTTCGCCCAAGCTCGCTCTTCTTCGCTCTGTCCCTGTCCCTGTCTCTGTGCCTGTCTCTGTCTCTATCTCTGTCTACGTCTCCATCTATACCTCTGCATCCACCGAATTGCCCGCTGATGTTTTGTCTCGTTGTTGCTCTCGTCCTCGCTCCTTGCTCCCTGTTCCTGTATCTGTGTGCTGGGGCTCTGTAGCCGTCGCCATTTAAATATGCTTAACCTTTAAGTACGTAGTAAGCAGTTTTCGTGCTACTTTATTAAATTATACGCCCATTTGCACAAATCTTGTAGTCACTTATATTTATCGCCCCCGTGTCTCTTTGCAGAGCTGCTGTCCCTATGCGTTCATCAATTGTCGCGCCAACAGCTTCTGGGCAGGTGGTGGCGCTCGCAATGGAAATGGAGGCACAATTGGTAGCGGCGGAGCCCTCGATATGCCGCCCCATATGAACTCCACGGCCTCATCGGAGATACACATGAGTGTGTTGCGAGCTCGCCAATATGCTGTCACGCCCACCAGGGCTGCCCAGCAACAGCAGCTGCATCCCTTATACACGAACTAAGCCAACTGCTGATGGATCGGGAATGGGTGGGAGGTGGTATACCGGGAGTAGTCCCAAATTAATTCATACACACAGTTGCGACATATTCAAATGATTTCGCATTATATATGTACATGTGTGTGTATTCATATATATATATATGCAATGGCAGATATCTACCTATATGAGTGTGTGCGTGCGTGAGTGTGCGTGTGATTACATATGTACATATGTATGTGTGGTGTGTAAATGTTATTGTAGTTTATATGTATGCCTATGCTCAGCAGCAGGAACAACAACAAACAACAAATAATAAAGAAAGGAACACAAGACAAAACCAAATAAAACCAACAACGCGACAATCCCACAGAACAAAAGAAGCCTTCTAATGCATATAAATGCTCCTACGCATATTCTAATTTTCAAAATTGAGGGGAAGAAATGAAATACAAACATACTGAGTAATTATGCATACATTTTGCATTCAAAAATATGAATATATGCGTGCAATAAATTGTGGCTAACGGCAAATTTCTAAAATTGAATGAAAACCAAATGCAAGTCCTATTTAAAGCGGTTGGTCACTCTGTAGATATAGCATACCTAGTATTGTGTACAAAAGTAGTTGATTAATAAACAACATATACTATATACATGTGTGTGTGTGTACATTGACAAAGAGTAACAAAATCAAATATTTTCAATTTGGCCGAGCATCCAATGATCGTTTGAAACTAATTTGAAACGATGATGGAAAACAAATTGGCTATGTATGTTGTTATAAGAGATTGCTAGTTATTTAAGACATTCTTTCTTTTTTTCGGTTGTTGATATATATTTTCTTTTTCCAAAAACTATCAAAATATGTCGAAAGAGATTAGTTCTTTTTAAATTGTCACTCTTAAGCTTCTGACCACAGACAACTCAAATTTGTCAAATTTGAGAACTAAATAGTAAAACATAGTTTTCCACACCCTTCTAAAATAAAAGATATATTGGTCCAAAAAATTGCGTACAGAACTGAAGTTGTTCCGTTAGAAATGCATGGGCTGGTTAAGGTAGGCAGATATCAAGATAGTATAAAAGTAGTTTAGCGAATAATTTCGTTATTCTTTCTATACATATATGTAGTTTGATGTCAAAAACTTACTAAGGGATAAACTAACAGCATATTCGGAGTATGCGCCAATTTAAAAAGGGTATAATTTCAAATTCCCACTACATTCCTAATCATACAATTTTGTGCCAAATATGTTAAATCAGTTTGTAATAATCATTATAACGTACAGCTGAAGTTGATTTCTTGAAATTACTCCTATTAATGCATCAATATACGTTTTCAACTAATAAACAAATTACGTTACATGTTATAACGATGTGTAATGATGATCTGGCGTTTTTTTTTTCACTTTAAAAATAATTAAATTGCTGCCTAAGTATTCCTTTATTTTACATTTTCTTCATAGAGCAACATTCCATCATCAACCAAAACTTTCATGATTTCAGTTTTGTTTATTTTTGTTGCCAAATAACTTAACTTAAAACTTGTCAGCTCATTATACCCAAGAAATTGAATCAATTTTTCTGCTAGCAACTTTTTCTTGTCCTGAAAACAAAAGCGTATATATACTGCTGATCTTTTCTGTATTGAGCTGGAACAAACATTTTCTGTATTCTTACTTTTAGAAACCAATTTCCACCTCCCAACTGGCTACAGCGATTAAGATAAGCAATTTATTCCTTAATCGAGAAGTATAAAAACATTTCTTCTTTAACAAATCCCACGCTGTTTACATCAATTCTGCCTTAGTTTCAGTAGCTGTGTCAAATCTTGATAAAATGTAATATTAGTGTGGCGGTAGAATTTATCATTAAGATTCACTAAATAATTGGATAAACACATGTCCAGCATTAAATTTATAAATTTACAAATATGTGCTTTTGGTTCTTAACTTACTGAACAAGCAAACTGTACACTACTCGTAGAAATGATGGTCCAATTAAATTTAAAATTTTGACAGTTTCCAACACTGCCCACAAAATACATAGACTTTCGAGTCTCATTACCAAATGTTGATTTTTTAATTATATTTCTAAAAGTTACTTTCGCGGGGATTGCATTCCGTTTGTGCACAATTTTTTAAAACAGCATACTTTTAGGCGTTAGCTATCGGCTTAGCCTCCTAGGCCATGCAAAAAAGAACTAAAGGACAACGTTTATAACAAATTTGAAATATTTCAGAGTTTTTCAATACTTTTGATTTTATGTGAGTTGGAAACTAATTATATATTGAAATTCCCATTCAATGTTTACAATTTAGTTTTAATGAAATAATGTCCTGGTTCTATATTCTTCTTTTTTCTGAATCGTTTTCCACATCTCAGCCTTTATTTATGTTTAACTTAAATACTATCTAAGTAGTTGTGATACCTATTAGTTAGAAAATGTAAATTCTACCATATCCATTGGCCATAAGTCTTTCTAGGCTAAGTGCACCGACATGGATATACTTACAATGAGATTGTAAGCGCCCAAAGCCAGCCGCAATTATCTGAAATGTTAAATACGACACTACATACTTACATACATATACATACATATATACGACTATTAGGAAATACAAAGTTGAAGCAATTAGTTGCTTCTGACGTTGTTTGTTTTGTAATACTTTTTTATTCAATTGCGACCCAAGTACGAGAATACATGAGAGCTTTTTACGCAATGCCCAGACAATCTTGCGATTCGTAAAAAAACAGAAACCAAACAAAAACTACAGTTCGGTTGGCAAAGGCTAGCTCTTAAGTTGGTAGCCAAATTTCAGTGTCCCCGTTGCTCTAATCTTAACAATAATCATTATATAGAACTTAAAGTTATCGAATGCTCTGTCCACATCGGCTCTCGACAGCCGACATACATATAAATCACGACCAAGTTTGCTCAACAAATGCCAAAGCGCTAAAAAAGTTTCGCGTTTGTTTGCCTAAAATATCAAATTGTTGCAAATATACTTATGCTGTATACTATATACATATACATATATATGTACTTGTAGGTATGTATCTATATGGTTTGGTATCTGTGAGCGCTAATGTAAACACTGAGAGAATAAATCGCCTGTTTTTTTTTCGTCGAATCATAGTCATTATTTAAAGCGCGGGCTTAAGAGCTTACCGCGGTGACAAATGCGTCCGAGTGTATGTGTGTGTGTGGGAGTGTGTGTGTGTGTGTGTGTGTGAATGTGTATGTGCGGGTGTGTGTGAGTCAATATTTGTTTGATTTAATTTTATTTGACAACAACTTTTTGACTATTTGTTGCCGTTTTGGGGTCTTTGTTTAAGCTGCGAGACGCACACAAAACGCGTTGTCAACAAGCGCTGATAACAAATAAAATGTGTCTCTAAATATTGTTAACTACTTCTTGCTGTATTAGTCAAGCCAGTTGGCCAGGCACGTGCCCGAAGCGTGAACTTACGAGTGTGGAGTCCCCTATCACTAGCCAATGTGTGTGTCATGTTGTTCAATCGAAAGCTGTATGTTGTTGTAATAGCAGCAGAGGTTTTTGCTAATTTTAGCGAAGAGCATGTGACTTCCAGATATACATACATGCATACAAAAATAATTAAACAATATTGCACAAACACAACGAATTGATGACGGCAGTTGGCACAAGTATAGCGACGAGTCATGAACTCCCATCTGCCTGAGGGGCTAATTGCAGTTCGCTTAATGATAAGCAAATGTGTGCGGCAAAAAAGTTATTGCCAAGAGTTTCAACACGTTATTGAAACGCCCAGACATTGTGTCATGCATCAGCATTTGTTTATGGCATCTAGAACTTTGATAAAAAATGCGACCGAAAAGAATTGCGAAATTCACAGAAACGATGATAAAGCAACGCGATTCTCATAGAAGAACAAATCTTAGTCCGTGGAAAATTTGAATAAGGCATTACAATTAACAGAAATTCTACTTTGATAAAAAATGCGACCGAAAAGAATTGCGAAATTCCCAGAAACGATGATAAAGCAACGCGATTCTCATAGAAGAACAAATCTTAGTCCGTGGAAAATTTGAATAAGGCATTACAATTAACAGAAATACTAAGTATTTTGATAAAAAATGCGACCGAAAAGAATTGCGAAATTCCCAGAAACGATGATAAAGCAACGCGATTCTCATAGAAGAACAAATCTTAGTCCGTGGAAAATTTGAATAAGGCATTACAATTAACAGAAATACTACTTTGATAAAAAATGCGACCGAAAAGAATTGCGAAATTCCCAGAAACGATGATAAAGCAACGCGATTCTCATAGAAGAACAAATCTTAGTCCGTGGAAAATTTGAATAAGGCATTACAATTAACAGAAAGACATCTGTATCTTGAATAATCTCGACGATATCTCACTATACAAATACTGTACCTTATGACTTAAAAGTATATAAGTATGTTTCTCAAGTAAGATTGTATGGCTAGTTGTTGGAGCTTTTAAACAAGTCTCTGTTCCATATTATGCAACTTTACTTGCCATTTTATGATGCAACTCGAACTAAGCTCAAATCGAAACGTGACGAGACAATTGTAAACAATTGCGCTGCTCATAGCCCTATAGAAGAAAAGGAACGTAAGCAGAAGGAAAAACCAGTTGAAATAGAAAACAACAGCGATTCTTATCAACAGCAACAACTGTTCTGCTTAACAATTCTATTCTCTCTCTGCTGCACTTACACTTTTATATTTGTTGCTGTCTACATTGCTGATCAATCGTATTTAGACTTGATTGCTTTGCATTTTAAAACCCAATTCTGCATCAAACTTTATAAAAAGTTTCTCTTCAAATATTATTTGTAAGAGGACATTCGATATTTCATTTAAATATAATTTCGGCTTGAAAAGTGATTCCTCTCCTGCCTATTTAGCTCATTTGACCAAGCACTTTTGCCTACTACTGTCTGTAGATCTTCATTTTCGACTGATTATAATTCATTTGTTGACGTTTATTTATTTATTATTTATTTTATGACTGCCCCTATTGAGTCGGAATTCAACCGTGTGTGTGTGTATGTGTTTGTGTGGGTCCATCGGCTACTTATCTAGGGCTATAATATTTGATATTGATAAATGTCTACAGTAGTGCATGCCTGCGTGTGGATGTGTGTTTGCTATACATTACCCATTCAATGTTTATGTATAGCGTTAGGAAAAGTGTAAAACAAAACGGACCGCTAATATTCGTAAATGTCCAAAAGTTCAAGTGAAACTAAAAACTAGAAGTGTAATCAGATTACAAATACAAATTGTGTGCAATAAACATAAACTAATTGTTAAATGTGTTAGGTGTGTGTGCAAAGCTGAGAAATAATAAAACTATACAAATAAACAAAGAATTTAAGCGATGGAATTTTAAATGCTGGCAAATAGTTACAAAAGTAATTAAAGCGAACATACTATACATGCATACGTATATAGAAATAGTTATAAAAAAAAAACGTAGAGCAAGCAGAGTTGGCAGTGGAGAATAAAAATATATATACTTGTATCTATATAATATATTGTAATAAATGTTATGTAAGGAGCACACTGCTGCGCAATAAAATTGTTCGACGAGAATGCAAAACTCACCGCAAATAGTTGTAGAACATACATATAAATATTCGTAATTACATAACTATTTGATAGCTGTATTGCCATTGCATTGTTTTGGGGAAGAGGACTGCTCGCAGTCAATAGCGTCTATTCTCAGTCAATTGAGGAATTGAGAAATGTTGAAACCTGTTTCATATGTAAGTATAAAGTCGGGCGGCGGAACAACCGCCCCACAACCCTAGCCGCTAAGTAAATGTTAACATGTGCGTTTATCTGTGGAAATTACATTATATATATATATATATATTATATATTTATTATATATTATACAAACATATGTTAGTCAGTATGCGTATGAACTAAAGACGAAATGAAGCAATTACAATCGTATGAAGTAACTAAAATAAAAAGTTCAAAACATCCGATGTGTTTCCTTTTCTTTTCTTTTCTTGTATTTTATTTGATTTGATTTCCCGCAGCCGCAGCGTGTCGCCATTATATAGTAATGGTCGAGGGGGTGAAGGGCGTGAATGGCGTGAATGGCGTTGGCAAACAAACGCGGCTGGAGCATTGTTATTGATTGTTGTTGTTGCTGTACGTGTCTCTGAACTTTTTCTGAATTATCTGATATGCATTGTAGACTCTGAAATGAAAGGGGGGATGGGGAGAAACATTAGCTGTTGTTGAATTGGAACAATCTGAAGGGTCCACTCACTTTTCCTTCGCTACCTTGAAGGACTTCTTGCGCTGCTTCAGACACGTCGAGTTCTGAGCCGTATCGTTCTGGGGCAGATCATTGGGTGATATCATCGTTATATTATCCGGATGACAGAAAAACGCTATAGAGTGACGACCGCGAGCTCTAATGTGCTCCTGTTCGGGCACAACAACGCGATGTTGCTGTGGACGAGAGGGAAGAGATCAAATATTAAAGAATGTGAAATCATACAAATCATTTCTTTTTTTGAATAATAGAAAGGAGGATATGAAGATGTCTTTTTATAATCCAAAGTGGTCCATTACAGACTTATTTTAGGCATGACTTTCTATTACACATTCCACTGTATACCTTTTCAGCTTCAGTGCAATACCTTCGGACTAAATTCCCTCCTGAATAAATACTCGTTTAAACCCTCTTACCTCTTACCCTCTTACTATGCTTACCAAGGCGGGGTAGCGTTCCTGTGTCCATATCGACAATATTTCGCCACAGTTAACCAGTATGGCGCCGGGCAGATGACCCACACGATGCCATTTCTCGCTGCCCGGCAGTTTCACCTCCAGGCCGCCTTCCGAGTCCTGCGCTAGGAGAGTAAATGTGCCATAGTCCACATGGGCGCCACAGCGTATGATGGCGCCATTGGCCAGCTTGTGCTCGGATAGCTCGCCGTCGTTGCCCTTGCCATCGAGCTCGCTGTACTCGTCGCGAGCATTCTGTTCGGGACGAAAGTCTGGCATGTCCGAGACGCAGCGCTGGTAGCTATATTGGCAACGACCCTTGACGAAGTCGTTCTGGCCGGGTTCGTCGTCCACCACGGGTGGATAGTAGAGCATGCGCAGGGTGGTCATGTTGTCGTGGTCGCCGGACAACATGTGTGAGTGCTTTTCGAGGAAGAATGTGTGGGGTATGTCTAGTGAGATGGCGATGGCCTGGAGTATGAAGCTGGCGAGCGCCTTGAAGTCGTTGGCCAGCGTGGATATATGATCGGCAAAGCCCGGCAGCGGCTCCTCCGGCAAATTTTTCGCATTGAGTGTGCAAATGTTGAAGGCATGGCGCAGTTCCGGCGTCTTGCCATCAAAGCGCTCAATGCCGGGACTCACATAGCCGTGGTTGTCGCCGTCGGTGCGTATATAATGTTGCTTAACGTCCGCCGACAGATTCACAAAGTCGTCCAGATGATCCCAGGCGGTTTTCAGCTGCACAATAAACGACTTGTTACGGTTTTTTTTTTCTCAAAATAGGCTGGCATGTGGACACTTACCTTCTCGTCCGATATGCCATGGTTAACCAGCAAGGCCATGCCCTTCTCTGAAAGCGCCTTCCGAAACTGAAGACCCACACGATTCACTACCGACCTGACGGGCACTTCCTCGGTACCTGGCGATCAAAGAGAACATTATACCGTCAATTACAAAAGTAGTTCTTTATTATTGTTAAAAAATCGTGAAAAGCCCCTTTCTGTCCTCACCTACATATCTGGAATACTCTTATGAAAAATCTGTTGCTGGACTCATAAAGAGCTGAGAGATTAGTTTATATCCTAGTTCTCTCCTAATGCATATATTTTCAGTCCTCATCTTGGATGATAAACATAATATTTCACAATTTCTTTATGAGTTTTCAGTCTCTGTTCTCGGAAGCTGCGACTATAAACAGCAATTATTTGGCGTATAGCCAAATTTTGAGCCCTGACTGTTAATCTATTGTGGTTGAATTGTTTGTGGACAAAGAAGGGAAACTCTATCGGAAATTCCACTCGGGCTGGCCTTTGTTTTGGCGCCGAGTTCTGGGTAAAAATGCCACAAATAGCAATGCCATAAAACGCTCAAAGTCGCGCGCGCTTTATGGCATGCAATCGTTTTATATACGAGCGCTATAATATCTGATACCCGTTTTCGAAATCGCACGTTAGACCAGGCCGTGTTCTAGCAAATCCACTTGCCAATTACACAACCCGCGGCATGTGATTTGCCAATAATTACAATTAGTAATTAAAGTTTTGCAGCGGCAAGTAAAAAAGGCAGCGACAAAACTAAAGGCAAAGGCAACGGCAACGGCAAAAGGCGACTAAGTACTGAGCGATTGATATAAATGCATTTGGCGAGCGTTAAAGGCGAACACATAAAATTCAATAACCACCATAACCGCAATAAATCCAATAAAGGTGAATGCAATCAATTTCAATGCAACGACGGCATTTGTCATTGCAAATGGCAGCGCCGATGACAATGACTCGAAATTGCAGCCGGCGGAAAATTATATAGAAATACCCTCGCGGATAGCAGACAGGAGACAGGAGACTGCAGACAGCAGACAGCAGTTTAAAGCAAAGCAAAGCAGAGACGAAGTTGGTCGACAAAGTGGGAGCATGGGGGGGCCAGGGTTGTGAGGAAAAAACCAAAACATTCACCACAATGTTGTGGCCAAAAGGGGGCGGACCGATGGGTGTTGACGGCCGACGGTCGACGGAAGTCAGCCGTGAAGTCAGCAATGTGTGGCGGTTTGTCACTTAAGTGGCACAGAAGTGTCCGACAGATCTGATTAACTGCATGCTAGGGTGGTTGCTATTGCCTTTTTAAAAACTTGGAAAAAAAAGAAAGTACAGAGATATGCCTTTGCTTTTTTTAAAACCTGAAAACTTGAAAACTTTGAATATATTATGATTGAACTGAAGCTTTTGTTTAATTATAAACTAAGAGAAAAGCAATTTATTTGCAAAGTACTTGCTTGCGCAGTTTCGTGAACTTGGAACATACCTATATAGTTTCTGGGAAAATCGAAAAAAAAAAAAAATGACAGACTTGAGCTAAGACGGCAAGCTTTGGACTTCAGGCGGCCAGACTTGGTATTTCGTTCATTGACCTCTGCAGAGCAATTGCCTTCCCTGATAGTATCACCTGCAACAGTTCTTTGTCCTGGAGTGTTCACGTATTGAAGGCTGCAGGAAACACTTATGGCTTACTCAGACAACTTTCGTTGACTCGGCAATTCTTGCCCATAGATATCAGACTATTAATCGCTAATAAGTTTTAGCGATAATGTAAAGAGGGGGAGAGCACATAACCAGTTTGGCACACAGCATTTACCATATGAAGTTTAGAACATGGGTAGATTCCAGAAACTTAATTGTGATGCATGAAATTATAAATACCAGAGAACCGGGCTATTTATTTGAAAAACTACGTTTTAGTGCATCCTCAAGAACCAATAATATAAACAGTATACGATACAAGCTTGGCTGTTCTGAACGGCAGTTCTTTACAAGTATTCATGCTATTCGCCTGTGGAATCAGCTACCTCAATATTTAAAGAAAATTAGTAGTGCTTCGCAATTCAGGGAAAAATTAGATTTGTTCTTAAAAATAAGTAACAAACAACATAAAATAGTCTATTAGATTTAACTTCAATTTTATAAAATAGGTTAAGCAGGTTAATCACACCGTCTTAGATTTGTTTAAAAATTGTATGTTTCTATAGACTAGTGCATTATTTTATAAGAATTTATTTCTTGTTGCACTTGGAAATAATAATAATAATAGTTGAGTCAATATTATTCAGATTTTTATGGGACAGTCACATATATACTCAAACTCATCGCCTTTTAAAAGTGAACATTCCCATATTTAATATTTAGCGGCACTCAATAGTTGAGAGAATTTTGCTTATCAACAAATGCGGACCACCCTTCTGCAGTTGGCCAAGCTTAAACATCTATATATATATGGGTGTGTGTGTGTTTTTTTTTTTTTATTCTTTAATATGAATTAAGTAAGGGTGTGTGTGTGTAACGGATGTGCTTCGCAGTGGCTACGCTTCGTGCCTTCAGACATATCCACATGCCGCTGCAGGTGAGCCAAAGTAATTTAAAATTGGCTCTTAACTTATTCACTCCACACACACACACACACACACACACACACACACACACACACACATGCAGATAATCGTATCGGAGCGTATATAATGAAGCTTTAGCTGGAATTGTAATCGAAATGGTCGCACGCCGTGACGCAGTTTTGTTGCGAATCGTGGTTGATAGTGGCTGATAAGTACGGAAATACGCTAATAACAATTATGCGTGTAGTCGCCCTTATCGGCATTGCTGTTGGTGGAAAGGGTGGGACTCTGATTTGGCAATCCGAAAAGTTGTCGTCATGCAACCAACGTCTGATTAGAAGTGGTATTAAATACGAAGAGTACTTATTCTAATCAGAGGCTGCATGACGACAACTTTTTGTTGTGCCTCAAACGATTCCCACAAAGCGCTCTCAGTCATCGCAATTACTCTCGCCGGGGGCTATTTGTGTTTGGCGAACGTCTCGAAAGGTCAGCCAGCTGTGGCAATGGCCGCAAATTTTAGAGAATTCAATTGAAGCTGACGATGATGCCGGCACAGCACAGTGCGTCCAAATCATAATCTAGCCGGACAAAAGCTCAACTGTTTCTTTGCGATCTTCTCTTATCGTTTCAAACGGCCGTCCCCAATTCCAAAATATTTTATTATTATAATTAAACCTAATTTGCGTCTCTGGTTTCATAGACTGACTCCAAAAGCGTTACTTCTGCAGTCACTCTGATATGAATAGAACTTTGTGTGAAATACTTTCCAAATATTAGCATAATACCTACGAAATAAAACATAATAGATACAAGTTTATTACTATTTATATTATAGTCGAGTAGTTTATATTCGATTTTTCAATGAAGAAAAGCACCATACAGAGAATTTTAGTGGATTGTTGAGCATTTCTCGCACTACCCCTCTGCCTATTCGCATTTAAAACAATCTGTCAAACGAAATAACTGATGCCACCAATGTTTTTTATGGGACTATCACATTTTCATATCACTTTCGGAAATGGATATGTTTGCGGCTCAAAACAATAGCAAATAGATATTTATATTTGTTTTCTCTGTGTCGGTTTACTCGTCACGGTGCATAAAAAAGAAGCCGCGCAGCAAAAAATGAGTAAATAGTCGTGCCAGCCCCGCTATCAAATACCCCGCACCCACGATTACGTATTGGTAGAGTTCCGTGTCCCTACACTGATAAAAAAGTTGCATTGTTCAGATGAATATTTTCATATTAAATTTAATGTTCTACTATTTCATATTCAAATCAAATACAAACATCGTAGATTTTACTAAAAACATATTCAATAATAATATGAATATTATTCAAAACAAAGTTTAAAACTTAGGTATTAAAAAAACAAATAATTAAATTTACTATATTCCGTAGTAAATTATAATATTTTTCTCAACTTTAAGTTGGAGTTTCTTGTAGTCGATTTAAATATACTAGAAATATATTAAATTTCACTTGGCTAGAATACAAAGTGTAAGCGATTGATATACAGATATGGTCGTTAGGTATGTGTCAAGTAAGTGTTATTCAATCAGATGCTCCTCACTTTTAATGTTAATATTGATCCAAATTAATATTGATCCTTACTTAAAAGGCATAAAAAAACTTCAAGATAATTAATTCGTAATAACAAAAAACATTTAAAATTACTCTCTAATAATAAATGGTTCTATAGAAAAAGAAATTGTATATACAGAAATAAAATATGCATCATGGAAATGTTAATATTGAAAAGAGTTAAAAAATCAGTAGTGTAGACAAAAAAGTGGAAAAAATATTTTATAATTGTAAAAAAATAAACCTTTGGCGTGAATCAAACTCACGTCTCCACATCATCACTTGTGATTTAATATCGTCACACTTTAAATTTAATATTTTAATATTAAATTTTTAAATTTAAGTGTGCACACTTTATATTTACTAAAACACACGATGGTAAAAATAGTTAGTGTAAATATTGAAATTTCCGTGGTTTTCATCTCTGTAGATGTTGTGGTTCAAAAGTTTTCTCAACTCATACGGATGTGAAACTGAAATGTAAATTAGAAAGCATTCTACAGACTCTTGCATTTCATTTGTTGATCTCAATAATATTCGCAAAATTCGAAACAGATGACAGTTCGTTGAGGCCATGGAGGAAATGTGGTTGCAGGATTTCGGTTTTGCTTGCACGCCCACTGTGCCGCAGCAGGTCGTCTTTCAATTTCAATTAAAGTGTTTATTAGAGACGCCGTATCTTTATTGTATTGTTTGCATGCATCTCAATTAGAGGACTCGCATTGGCTTTTATTCAAACACACTCGCATACCCATAGTTTGTGATCCAGTTTCCATTTCTCGCATTTCTGCCAAAAGCGTCGCGGCCGCTTTTCAATTTGAGGCAATTTTTTGTTTTGTCGCGCAACTGGTGTGCGCTTACTAGTCGCTAATTTATCTATATTGAGGCTAATTAATTGAGTCAGTATTGTATTGCTCAGATCGCTGCTAGTATAGTAGAAATACTCATCATCATCATCGTCGTCGGCGTAGTCATCGTTTTGCCTTGCCATCGGAAAATTTTGCGTTTAACTTTTGGCTTTTTTCTGTTTTATTGGGATTTTGTTTTTTTGCAATCGCTACTAAATCGCACATATGTTTATAAATAGATATTTATGGGGTTTTATGCATTTATGGTGCGCCATTAGTTATTGAGTGTGTGTGTATGGGCCGCTATTTGTATTTCTGATATTGGCAATTTTTATGGAAATGCCTATTGAGCGCTGGAATGTGTTGTTTATTTCAGTTTTGTTTAGATTCCTACAATACTTGTTCAATGTTTATTGTGCAATACATGGAAGATAGCCATACTTGTTAGTACAACTTAATGACTGCAATTTAGTTTCGGAATGTAAGTAGTACACTGATTTATTTGCGGATATATAGTATGTAGTTTGTTGGCAATCCATCAGAATTTGCCAATTAATTCGAATTAGCAGCCGTCAATCTAATTACGCACATTTATTGAAAAGTTGGCACTGAAATTCATGGAAAAGATGCACAAAAATGCAACTTGCATGCCTCAAATAAAAAGCTAACCCTGCACTAATCGAACAAGTTATTTGTCATTACTGAATCATGAAATGTAAATTGTATCTCGAATAGTGTTTTCCTCACACCGCAGAAATTCGTTCGCTTTGGAAACGCGACAGACTCTTCTAAATCGTCGTCAGCAGTGAAATGTTTTCAATTCTGCATGAATATAATAAAATAAAATGAAATGTTTATATCGAAAAGTTCTATATTTACCGTCCGACTATAAATGCTGGCACGTGTTGGATTTATTGGCTTTCAAATACGCACAAGATAAAAAATTGAAAACATGCCTACATGGTTAGAGTAGCAGTCCATTGAAAACGGGTTCAGCAGCTTATCAAAACAAACATTTGGAACCATAACCATTGTCATAACATTCAATTATGATAACAGCAGTCCAAAATAAATATGCACATTAAATGCGAAATCAGCATGACGAGCGGCGACATAAACATTTCCATCCAAACTAGGATTTCGGGTGGATTAAGGTATGTATCAAAATAATTTCTCCAACCAGTATCAGCCGAGTAGTGATATAAAACAATTGTAATAAGGCGCACTTTTCTGATTCGGACATCCCAGATTGAAGACTATATATAACGACTGGCAGTCAACTTGATTGAATATTTTAAACGCTTTCGGTGAAAGCTTTTTCGTGTTTCTCAATTAGAAATTAACCATTCGCGAACGGAAGTAGACTTCTCATCTTTGCTACGCAATTCCCAAACTGTCGCCCATTTCACAATGTTTCTCTATTTACGTCCTGCTTTCACAATTCATCTTTCATTCGCAATGGACGATTTCAGCTCAATTATGGGAGGTGTGAACAATTACGCCAATTGGCCTACAAGTTGTGTCCATAATGGAATTATTTGGGCACAGCAATGAATTCGGGGCCCAGAAGTGAACTCTGCCGTGGAAGTCAAGACCAATTAGATTGTCCCGCTAATATGGCTGAGGTAAGTGGCGAACAGAAGCAGGGAGAGTCGAGTCGTGGTTAATGCTCAGCTGGTTAGTTGGCTGGTTTCGAAAACGATTTCGGCTCAAGCCCAATCCAAGCCGCTGAACAGGTTGAAGCTGGTTATAATCGGTGTTCGCACTGCCGTCTTCGTCATTGTTGTTATTGTTATTGTTGTCAATGTTTTGTTGCCCTCTTGTTGGCGACTTCATGCCGTACGTATCAATTAGGCTGACCGATGCCTCTCGAAAAGCTCATGAAGACTGGCATGGGGCAAGAGGAGTGGCTGTGGAGAGTCTTCAAATGCGTCACGACGGCAACGTAGCTGCTGACGCAAAGATCTCGTTACAAGATTGTCAGATTTGTAGTAAACAAGAGAGAAAAAATAACAACACAACAACAGTGCTCAGCCCCACCTCCTTTCCAAGTGCAGTTTATCAGACTACAATGAGTCCGAGTGGCCTCAGAGTAAAAACAAAAACAAACACAAACACAAAAATAAAAAACAGACTGAGAAACAAGTTTTCTGAGACAAGCGATATTAATAAATGTAAAAAAAAATAAAATGTGCGCGTTTCAATTGGATTTCCATTTCCGCACTTAGCGCCTGCGATTCCAATTGTTGGCTGGCATTGGACAGTCGGACGTGGCTGGGCATAGCAAGCAGAGTGGTTCAAGAACCTCTCCGAATCAATTGAAGTTCCGTTGGCACAATTGCCGCGCGCACTTATTTCTCTTCTTATAGCTAAACAGTGGAATGTTTTGCCCCATTGGGGGTCATTGGCTCGCATGTGGAAATGAGCACAACACAGGAAGGTCACGTGTTGACTCCAAGGACGGTTGACAGGTAAATACGCCCTCGACCTCGACCAGCAGATAAGCCGATAATATTAAGTGTGTAATATTTACATAGAGAGCTGTAATTGTGTCAGCCGTCAGCTGAGACTATGACGAAAAAGATTCCACAACTACCCATGGAAATTTTGTAACACATTGCTGTTGATATTCTCCAAAGACGACAACGTAGAGGCGAACAAAGGCATTACTTTTATACAATGAACCTCAAATACCTATTACTGATTATGAGATATCATGATATATGTACCTATTTGTGGCTTGAAGCAACTGAATCGAACTGACAAATAGCGCTCTATTTTTAACACCTTTTGGAGAATTATGTGTCTGTTTGCATTTCCGCACATCACCGAAATTGTATGACTCATTCATTATATTCACTGATGGTATCAAGGCTGAAAGTGTTTGAGTTTTTCGTGGAAAGTGGAACATAATCACTCAATTTCCTTACAAGTCGGAAGCCGTGTGACAGTTTTTGACTGAACGGCTTTAATGCTTTGTTTACTGTTGACATATTCATCATATTTCGGTTGTGTCTTATTTAAGAATTGAACTTGGGACCCACAGTTTATTATGCGAAGGCATTCGCTATATCGAAGAGTATGAACCCTTTTCCAAAGGCGCTAATTAATTCTCTGTAGAATTCGAGAATCAAACAGGCAGCACATAATTGTAGAGTATATTTTGTTAACATCAATTAATAACCAAATATAATCAAACAATCATTAAGGAGTCACTCACACAATTTGTTAACTTGTGTGCTTTGGAGGTCATAGACCATCCATCAGAAAAATTGGTTTATCGGTTTCGTTGACTCCCCTCAACCAGTAGGTCGTGCAATCAATAACCAATTAGAGAAACCTGTACAATACCTCTATAATAGGTGTATCTCACTGACAGCTGATCCGCAGTAGACATATTACTGCACCTAACAGTTTTGTATTCCCCATTGCTTTCCCACTTGGGTGCATTATCAAGTGGCCAGGTGTCTCAGTCCCAGTCTTTGTGTCTGTGTCTGTGTTTGGCTCAGGTAATTCACTGCGACGTAGAATAATTTTAATTTGTGTACAAACATCCACTATTAAGTAACCGCAATTAACACAATACAACAAAACTTGAATAACTGCATGGCGCAGACAAAACGCAAACAAAACAAAACACTGCCTTGGCTGATGACTTGACTGATGACTCACAGAAGTTGGTTAATTGGGCGCCAAGTGGTGAGTGGAAAATCTTTGAACAGAAACAGAAAGACTGAGCTGTTGCCAACTGAGGCAAAGCCACTCTGAAGAGATATTGTATCTGGAAGATACACTTTCTATTCTTCAATGGAAGGTTTATTCGGGCAACCTTATCTCTGTCGAACTATTTGCTGAACTTCCTTTTGAAATTCAACATTTCAGCGTATCTGAATTCTACGGCTCTTCAATGTGTATTAACTAGCTATACATACTGAACTGTATTCGCTACAGATCAGAAGGTTGGTTGATTATGACTCATAACTAGTACTGTATCAGGTATAGTTAAACGATTTCAACAATACGATTCCTCTTTATGTGTTTGGCAAAATATTATAACCATTTCAACTGTTGATCAATGATGATGAGTTGTTTCACGATTGGGTAATGGATTATAGGCAAGTTACTTATGTATGTTATCAGAAATTAAGTACTTTGTTAGATTCTTTGAAGCGTATTCTTACAGAAATTGATAAAGAGCTATCCAATTAGGAAGTTCACGACTGTTGCAGAAGCTCATTACAGTTTAATAGAACTGATTTATTAGCAAGAGAGAGGACTTTCTTTTGCAGTTAGGTCTTCTTCCTAGTGATTTGATTTCGCTCTTCAAGTCTAATATTCTTGGGTTTATCTCAATCCTCTCTTTATCTCCCGCACTATTTGAAATTCCAGTCACGCTTTTAGGAGCGTAATTATTTGTGTTTCTGCCACTTACCACAATGCGCCAAATCGATGATGGGCACCAGGCTGCGAGACAGGAGGGTGTCCAGTTTGTCGTCGTTTGATTTTGTTTTCAACATCTTGCTGGCGTGTGTCTTGCCTTTGTTTACAGTTCTTTGGTTGGGATTTTGATTTACTCGTCGCACTTGACGCGCTTATCACACTTCTCACTGCCACGAGTTGGGTGGAGGGGGGTAACGGTATCGGGAGTCGCGACCGAATGCACTTTCGACTGCCAATCGACGACTACTGCAACTAATTCGAATGATCAGAATTCAATTGCTCAGCTATTGGGGTCTGTTGGTGCTCTGCATCTGTTGTTGCTATTGGGGGCTCTGTTCCTCTCTGGGAATTCTTGGGGCATGCACAACTTATGGCTAAGCGGTTAAGCGGCTAAGCGAAAAACGAAAACAAAATCGGTCTGTTTTGTTGTGGCTTCTGATTTTTGCAGCGGCAATCAATTAAAGCCTTCAAGTGGCAGGCAGTCAGCCAAAATGGCCAAAGCCAATCGAACGCAAATCGAGAGGCTGATGACGTATGAACATGGGCGCCGCGGGCAGCGGGGGTGCTGAGAGAGGGCGCGTGTCGGCCGTTTCCTTTCCTATTATTATTTTTATTAACACACACACGCGCGTTCAATTATTTCTTTCTATGTATCTATTGAGGAACGTTGCGAGCGGCGCGAGCGTCTTGGATAGACTGAGGAGCAGTTGAACGAGCGTTGGCGCTTCTTCCACGTTCTGCTTTCGCTTATCGCACCTGCTTGGCGATACGTCGAGACGTCGACGGCGACTGCGACAGAGAAGGGAGATTTCCCATGGGAAATTTTTATACGCTGGCCGTTCAGTTTTTTGTATTTATTTTTATTTTTATTTTGCACGCATCTCTGCCTAACACAAACACACAGAAATAGTATGCATGTGTGTGTGTGTGTGTGTGTTGTATGCATGTAAATGTATTTTTGTCAAAATATTTGATTTTGATATTTGTGCTTGTGTTTGTTTTTGTATTTTTTGTCGCGCATTCCTGCACTCGTGCGCAAGTACGAGCACGATGGGGTTTGTGCGTCGCAATTAGATAAAAGTTAATCAAATCAAAATTGTGATAACTAAATTAGCACTTGTTGCTTGTCAGCCTGCACCTGGCCACCTCTAAGGTACATACATACAAGTACGTATGTATGTATGTACATACATATATGTGTAAAACTTATAAATTTGTTAAGCAAGTATGCATACATATGTAAGTATGTATATCAAATTGTTTTTATGTATTTATAGTATAGCTAGAGTTGAGTAAGTGCAAGACTATACTACACATGCGTATGCATACATATGTGTGTATGTATGTGTGTGCATATGTATGAGCCATGGGCGATGTCGTCGACGTCGTCATTGGTAGTGCGGTTGTTGTTTTAGTTTCTGCTACTGTTGTTCTATTTGTTGTTGGAGACGTCGCTGTTGTCGTCTACAGGTAATTGTTGTAGTTGTGCCATCCCTGTTTGTGGTTGCTGTTAACAGCTGCCGTTGCCCTCACTGCCTGACATGCAGATACATACACATATACACATACATACGCTTTGTGTGTGTGTGTTTTGGCTACGCTTTGCTCTTCACATTCGCAAAGATACAGACGATTTTGTTGTGCGAGCAAACTACAAGTTTCTGTAGCAGCAGGCCAGATGTATCTCTCAGATCTCGTTTAACGGCACACCTGAGTCTGAATCTGAAGCTGACGCGGAGGCTGCAAGGCGCTTCACCCCTTAGCGATCACGGTCACAGCTGTGCCGAGCGAAGAGTTGAGGAAGGGAGCGGACCGGACCGGAGAGTTGTGGTGCGGGGCTGGCAAAGCCGAGCTCGGCAACAGCAGCAGCGCGTGTGCCTTTGGGTTTTGTTTTGATAACTGCGAACGCGATGCGAGGCGAAGTCGTTGCCAGGCAGTGGCATTGATGGTGATGATGATGATGATGGCGCAGACGAGCATATAAGCAAGCAAACAAATGTACACAATCACACAGACACACATGCACATGCACATGCACAGGAAATACCCGATGAGTGGAAAAACTGCTGACGCTATCTGAGTCGCTGGCGGGGAATTTGCAGCCACTTTGGAGGCAACACGACTGCAAGCCAAGTTGGAGAGGGCGGTTGCTCGATCGCGGGCAGGCAGTGCACATGAGTAAGCGTTTGTCAGTTAATACCCGCAAGTGTATGTATACATACATACATATGTAAATGAAACTCGCTTTCTTTTTTCGCACACATGGCAGACAGCAGCAGAGCTGAAGCTGTCTATGTATGTGTGTATGCATGTAGATTTCGCTTTTTAATAGCATACTAACAACGTCATCAAAATGGCCAACATAGCAACCACCTACTTAAGCGAATCTTCCGCCCTGTTATTGTACACTTTTCAACATTTTGAGACGCACTCGCGAATTTAACCTAAATACGATAAATATACATATGCACACACACACAAGCACACCCATGAGCCAGAAACAATAGCAACAACAACACCGCTATCACAACACTTACAACAAAACAAACGCTAACGACAGCAACAACGACTACCGAGTGTAAACGGCGATCAGACAGAGCCACGCGTCTGCACCTCACAGCATTTTCGCCAACACTGCGCTATTGCCAACACCAACACCACCACCACCACCGCCGCCGCCAATGAGAAGAGAGAACCGGCAAGAGTGCAGCGGCAACTTTAGGTTTGAGAAGCCGCTGAACACAGCGCGAGCGCGCCCGCCAACTGAACACAGCTCGAGATCTGAATTCGCCGCGTTCCCTTTGAGTCGAATTTTGAGTACGACCTCGAAGTGGGGCGCTCGAGCCTCGAGTGAAGATCGAGTTGATCAAATAAAGTCATCTAGGATTGCACGTCATATTCTGTGGAGCTGAAATTTGAACTTTTAAATCAAAATTAAAACAATAATTTGAGTCACAATTTGGATGAATTCCTAATTTTTATGTTGCTAAAATTCAAACCCAATAAAAACGCATGCCTAACAGAAACCACCTTCATATCTTTGCCACTAAAACATGTACATTTTGCAATTAATTATTATTTTTATTATTATTTTACTATTTAACTAACATGTTCATTTTCCATGCAGAAACTGGCATAATTATACAAAAATTTAAAAATGTCGTTGCATACTTTGCGGCCGTCGACATAATTTTGTTACTTCGAGTTGCGGGCTTACAAACAAAATGAGCGAAAAATTAAACGCTGAAAACATTTCTGTCTTGAATTTTATGTATTTCAATATTTATTGTTCCAAAAACATACAAGTCATACATGTTTTTTGTTAATACTAAAGCAAATAGTCTAGTGGCACCAAACAAATGTTATGAAATTTCACGCCGCATGCGGCCACAATAATCATAAAACGTATTTTAATTTTGGAAGAGGGGCGTAGGCGTGGGCGTGGGCGTAGGAGGGGGAGGGGGTGGGGGCAAGTTGATTGCATGATATTGTTGCTGGCGCTTCTCTGAATTACCTGTTGCCACTATTCAAAACGTTAACATTGTAAGTTGCTGCTGTGGTTGTGGCTCGCTCCTCCAAACACTCTCGATTTCGATAAGTAATAACTATTTGAACTAAATAATAATATTTGGTTCTATTGCACTCTCTCTCTCTCTCTGTCTTTGCGGGAAAGGTGCAAAGATCTCGCACTGTGGCATGTCACCCTTCGCTAAATATGTTCTACAAAAATAACTTACAAACTACAAAATGTAATATCCGTTTTTCTCCCAATTTTTTCGTTTTATCTATGTAGGTGTATTGAATGCAGGGGGGTGGACAACGAGGTCGACGAGTCAACAGGTCGATGTGTGGGCGGCAGCGAAATTAGTAGAGAATCTTCACAGTATCAGTGACATGGGGTGAGGGACCCTATATTCGTACTCTACATAAATGTACCTAAATTAGAGAAAACCTAACTAACGGCTCCGATCCAGCCGTTCTAAGGCACAAGAGCAGCGGCGGTGGTGGCGACAGCGTTGGCAGCAGAAGGAAGCGAGCTACTCCTTTTTCGCTGCCAGCTTGGCCTGTTTGGCCGCAGCCGCCTGCTTGGCCTCCTTCTTGTAGTTCTGCACGTAGAAGGAGCTGAACATGTAGGTGAAGAGGCCGGCGTTGAAGGTCAGCAGAGCGGCGATGGACTTCGGGAAGTTGCAGTTGGGCTGGAACTGGATCTGCAGGGTGTGCACGAATATGATAAGGAATTGCACCTGCGAAGAATAGTGGGATTAGGATTTGAACGCACACATCGAATCTTGTCCGTCACTCACGATCTGCAGAATGGTGATGTACTTCTTCCACCACAGATACTTCTGCACCTTGGGTCCCATGGCCGAGAGCAAGTAGTAGGCGTACATGATGATGTGGATGAACGAGTTGATGAAGCCCAGCAGTGTGCCGTGGCCGCCGGCAAAGTACTTAACCCCAATGAAGGCGCACACCGGCATCAGCGTGTGGTGGTAGAGGTGCAGGAACGAAATCTGGCGCTGCTTCTTGCGCAGCACAAAGAACACGGTGTCCAGCAGCTCGGTTATTTTGGCTATGTAGTAAAGCCACACAGCACGGGCCATCTGCAGAGCATGAAGACAGATACAGATGCAGATACAGATACAGATAAGAACAAATTGAAATAGAATTAGGGGCATATAGCGAGGCTTCCTCTGCACTCACCCTCATGGAGATGGGGTCCGTGGAATAGGTGACGGGCTGGCACTTGAAGTTGTAGTGTCCGCCCCAGCCGCCCTTGTAGCCCTCGTAGAAGAGCACCCAGCTGAGCAGCACCTGCACGGCATTGTAGATGAGCAGCGTGTTCTTCAGCTCGAAGGGCTTCCGGTCGCGCATATAGCGGGGGCCCGCATACAAACAGAAGTACAGATACGCGCCCAGGATCATGAACAGCGGTCCGGGCGCATTCGAGAGGAACCAGCTCTGTGAATGAGTTGCAAAAGTGTAAGCAAGGAAAGCAAATCTCAAGTAACTCCCTCTCTCTCTTTAAATAGTGTTTTATTAATATTTCAACTACTATGCACCTGAAAACCCAATCTATCTCTCTACACTGAAGCTCTCTCACGGATATAAATCGCATACGATTATTTTGTAATTAAGACTAAACTCTTAGTTTAAGCTATATTTGTATTTTTCTATAAATTTAATTGAAGCTGTAAATAATAACAGTATAATTAAAGTTTAACATTTATAAAAAATAAAAAAAAAAACGATTATTTTGTATAAGTGTGAAGCCCCATTTACTTGCTTCGGCCCTTATTGTCGAATCCGTTCATGCTTGAAGAGTCAATTAATTCCGTACCTTTTAATTCCCTACTTGATTTTACAATTAAAAAACTAATATTCATATGTTATTAATGTTTTATTTTATAGAGAAATGATTTATAGATTGAATAGACAGATCGTTTCAATAGAGAATAAATATTGTTTGTTTTAGGACTTGGCCTTTAACATTAATGATGACAGACAATGCTTTTACGAATTAATTTTACTTTACCTCCAAGGGGAGGTTTATTTTAGTTGCAAACTGTGTTTTAACAAAGCTTTTTTATTTGTTTCCATTTCTTTAGAAACTGAACAAATTTGTGAACAATACTGATTTGCCTGTCTGACCAAAATCTATTAAATAGATGAAATCACTTATTGGCTCTGATCAACATACAAATAATTGTGTTATATTTTACCCATTTAGGGGGGATAGGTGTCCCACAAACTCACCTTAGTGCGCAGATCCTCGTGCTCCACAAAGAAGTTCACCATACGGTCCACAATGGTTTGTGTTTCATTCAATCTGACCGACATTTTGTTCGCTGCAGGTGGGAACAAGTAATCATATATCAGATACAGAAGCTAATGAAAGCCTTAGCTAATGGGTGTGCCTGTCAACCATTAACAATGTTATGCCACTGCCACTTGATATTCACACTTCGTGCAAACATACCTATGTATACAGTTAAATATATAGATGGATGGTTGGATGGTTGGATGGATGGATGGATGGATGGATGGATAGAGGAATGTAGATAGTGTCCGGAGAAGCCGTAATTTGACATTTGTTTGGATTTCAGATGCCGCCTAATCAGCAATGCAAACAAGTTGGCGCTCGCCGTTGCTAAATTCGCTAGCGGGGGAGTAGAAAGCACGGATTGGTGGGGGTTAATACACACACACACACATAATTAACCACAACTACAGCCAATCCATCCATCGTAAACATGGCTGTGTAAGTTCTTTGGCCAAGTGCGAAATATCAAAATTTGTAATCCTCATCACCCTTGACCCTTGCCCTCCCTTCCCCTGCTGATCAGTTGGGTGCCATTAACCCGTTGTTTATGCGGAGGCATTTTTAGCCAGGGCAGCAGAATTGGCCGACTTCATACCGGCCGAGGCATACTCGTACACGTTTCTACACCCAAAAAGTGTCGCATCATCATTTCATAAATTATTGTAGTCATTCGTAATTTGTTGACGGATTGCGGCTCTGTGTGGGTCTGTTGCTGCCAACCGATGCCAGTTGCGATCAATCGAAACTACAAGTACTTAACAATTTCTGCACAACAAACAACTGAGCCGCCAGAACTGGTTCCATTTACGATCGCATCCCATTTCAAAAGCCTTATGGACTCACAGGGGCCAGCAGGCTAGTTCAAGGACAAATGCATATATAAATCTGTAAGTTAATGCTGCTGCTGGAGCTGCTGTGGTTGCTGCTCAACAAATACAACAAAAACAGCCAGAAGGGAAGAGGAGCAGCAACCAGTTGCCTGCCGTTTGGTTACGACTGCGCGTTTCGAGCGCGACTTGCGCGCGTTTTTGTGCCTCGCACTAAAGTGCTTCGTCGCTTTCGCAATATACTGATAATTATTGAGTTGCCATTATTTATCGGGGTAGCCAGCCAGCCAACCAGCCAACCAGCCAACCAGCTGGCCAGATACCTAGAAAAAGCGACAATTGAAAACAACAACAACAACAACAACAAAAAGTCCTTCGCATCAAGCATTGAACGGTGTGAGTTGGCACTTTTGACCACAACTCGTTGGCCAGCCACTATAAAGCCACGCTTACATGCATGTAGTATATGCATTTAGCAGCATGTATACATATATAGTGGTATATGCATACTTGATATCGGTCGTTATTACAAAATGCTGCTGATTGCATTGTAATGATTGAGTTTTTTGCCTTTATATGTACACTTCACTGAAAAGTCTAAGGGTATATTGTTTTGTTGCAGTGTACGTTGTAGCCAGGTGTACCCAGAAGAAAGAATTAAAGACTACGTGATCTAGGTATGTATATTTATGATCAGTCTTCGAGGTATCGCACTGAAACGTTGTACATAATATTGAGACCAACTCTGTCAGATCTCAATATATCGTGCATAAAAATTATTCAAAATCAGAAGTCAATGATCAAGGATCATGCAGTTCAACACCAGTGTTTTTTGCCTTGGACGTAGCCATGATCTCATGCAGGGGGATCAAGTTTTTTTCCTTAACTTCGATTTTGTACCAATATTTTAAACTCAATATATAGAGCTCGATATAACTTCAGTCTTGGTGTCAGGTTAATTCGTTGAATCTGAATAAAGGCTTCTCCCTATACCTTTTCAATGGACTCATTATTATTTTAGACCACAATTGAAACCGCTTTTATACCAAAATAAGTTATAATTTCATGGCACAAGTAATTGTGTTTTGGCCCCCTTTGCTACGCCTATGCTGCTCGCTGGGGCTCTGAATTGGAACATTTGCTTCGGTCCGCAGCAGATCAGCGGCCCAGTTTTTGGCAGACGCACTTGAGCTTTTCACGGCCTTGAACCGATTTGCAATTCCAAATCGAATGCAATGCACAATTTTTCACAGTCATGCCGCGCAAATTGTGCAACTGCCACAGAAACTGAGGCAGGCAGGCAGGCTTGCAGGCGGCTGTAACATCCGCACTTAGGCTGGCAAGAATCAAATTATTGTTGAGTATGCGAACAACTGACAGATGGCTTTAATTTTTGTGAGAAATTTTGTTTGCACTGCGCTTTATTAATTGTGCAAACAGCCCCAACACGTAACTTGCAACTGCCACTTGAGGAGCCACAGAGCTGCGTCAACTTGCCGAGCGGCCTTTAAAGAGAACGTGATTAGGCGGGTGGGCGGCTTTTTGTGGAGTCATCGTTCTATCCACGAATGTTTGGTAATGGGATTCTATCGAATAAGCAATTGTTTCGAATTAAGAGGCTTTTTCTAAGTTTCAGTTTTTTCAGCAGCTACTAAAAATGTTGGAAATTAGAGAGGAGTATAAGCTTTTTATTGCTTTACGTAAGTTAATGGTATTTCCCTCTTCAAGTACACTAATGGTTGCTCATTTACTCTTCAGAACCTCACAATACAAGTAAGTATTTAAAATTAATACAAATACTATTAAGCTTTAGACATTTAATGGATTTCGAATTCTAATTTACAACGCCAACATCTTCGGAGCACATTTCAGCAAAAGCTCTTCAAAGAACTTTTGAAATGCAAATGGCATTCAAATTCATGTGATTGCGTATTAGCATTTATAGGTAGAACAAGCATTATACTTTCACGCAATTTCTTTCTTTGAAATAAATTGCTTCTTCTTCCCGACATTCGAGTGTTATTAATGCTTCGCATTGGATATACATACATACTTGTATAAAGAACTGGTTTATTTTTATTATTATATTTTGTGCCTGTTTCCCGTTTTTGAATTTTGTAAAACGAACAATTTAATCATTCCTTGAGTTTTCAGGACCTTAACAATCTTTATTTTTGCAATATTGGGTTGAATTAGGACATGCTTGCCTTGCAAACATAAAAATGTATGGACTGGTTGAGGACGGGCAGGAGCTGCATGATTCATGTGAACTTGAATCGATATCGAGCACTTTAGCTTTAATTAAAATTAGCTTTAGTTAACGCAAAATTCAGCGTAATCAAGCGAAGCCTGTCTCTACTAGCACTGGCTATAGCTCCTGATCGTCCTTTTTTTAATCTTGTTGAAAAATCCCACAAGCTCTAGCTCCATATTAATTTACCATTTAGCTTTCTCGTGTGTGCTTTATTTTTGGTTCAAAGTTGAGTGAACTTTCATAGAACAGCGCTTAGCTTATACATACATATGTACTATATATATACAACTATAGGTGTATTTACAAGTCTAAAAAACGTTCAAATATCTTATATGGTAGGTACTTATGGGAACTATTTACCTAGATTCTATATCCGTTTAGAGGCATAAAAGATTTACTATGTTGCTAATTCGAAACTAGTTTGTTTATTTCTATGGTTCTTCCCATCGAATATATAAACAAATACTAATTAGTAAATCTAATAGCTTGCCGCTACATTAACGCATCCCATAACCCGTTATTGGAAACCGCCCGAAATAATGTTTCATAACCATTCAATGTCAGACAGCAGTATTTTTACCGGTTTACAAGCCGTATTTCTCCAATACGGCAAGTATTTTTTTAAATAAACACATATAGGTTATTCTTCAATAGCGCTGGCCTTTGAGTATGTTTAGAGACAAACATTTATTTACGCATACATATTAATAAAGTAGGGTGTTCTACTTATAAATATTGTCAATATTTTTATACATACACAGATATCCCAATACATAAACAAATCCACACACCTCTTTTAGTCCGATATATTCCAAGCTGTAAGTTTTGCATATTTATTTATTTGTCGAACGAATATACAAAATATTTGGAAGTATACCCTGCAAACATTTTAATGACGTTATCTGCTCTTGAGTGCATTCACAGATTTTTAATACTTGCGTAACATCCTTTTTGTAGTCAAAATAAGGCGTAAGGCCATGAGAAATTATTGAGGTAGACCAGAAGCTGCAGCAGAAGCTTCGATCAGTGTTACCATATCATGCGAGTATTTTTGTGATTGCATGCCGACCGATCAGCTGCTGCACAGTTCTTTCTCTAGCTACATTAAGTTTAGACAGGAAGAACAGCTGTTTTTGAAGCAGCGGTTTCGACAATGCTTCATTTTGCAAAAATACTCGAGATATTTTTCGTACATATGAAAGGATGCGGGGAATGTTCTGAAATACGAAACTACTTCTATTGATTGCAGATTTCTCAATGATTAGTTCAACATTAATAGAATAAGCAATTCATCGCCTTTATATCCACAAAAGAAGAAAGAAATCAAGTAAAGCGTATCTCCTATCGTAAAGAAGTTTAGGCGACTCACTTGCGATATGAAATGTTGGCAGGGTACTATGTCTATATAGCCATTTATTTGTCTCCGTTCTGGCCACTATGAATCTTCAAAACATGCGACGTTCAAATGCAAATACATACATACATATGTATACATACATACATGTAAATGTATGTATGTAGCTTTCGGCTTAGCTTTGTTCCCTGTTTCCATGTGGCTTTTTATACTTTTCAGAAGGTAGACACGAATAGAGTAAGGGGGGCTGGGACCTGGCCGGCACTATTTTGCATATGAATTCCACAACTTTTCGTCGATTGTTTCTGCGAACGAGTGTACGAACGCTGACTGTAAGTACGCCAATGGATGGAATTTAGGAAAATAGCTTTATGACTGATGCCCAACGATTAGAATGTCTGAGGCCGTCACCACTGAACGGAGATGATGATCTAAAGGAGGCATTACCCATTCAAAATTTACAGGGGCCGCTAGTTACACAGTCATAAAAAACTATTCACGCTCTCCAATATTATTATGAGCCGTTTGACTTGTAATTAGCAGGTCGAAGAAGAGTACATATTGGCGTGAAATCCAATCAATAAACTGCT